GGCTGGATTATCCAGGGACTCTTAAAGATCTCTGAGAATCTGGGGAGAAACTGGATCCTCTCCTATAAAAACGTTTATGTATCATGCATGGAAATTTTCATGTAAAACTTCACTCTAGAACAAAATCACAGCCTCATGGGCTCTGCTGGGAACCTGATACCTTAAGACTGCACCCTTGGCTTTACTGTGGGATTGCCCAGTGTGTCATTTTTACCTCTGAACTAACACAGAATAAAATTAGTTTTAGTAAATAACATGCACAAATTCCCTTTGTCACATCTAGTAGAAAAGCTGTGGAACCATCGGCTTCTCTTAGGATTAGGGAAAAAACATTGATCATATGGTTCACTCTTTCTTGTGTTGTATAATTTATTAGGAGAATACCTAATTTTTTAGAGAGACTTGGTCAGTGGTGCTTTCAGGGGCTTGTGAGCATAAATCCTAACTGGCATTTAAGTTCTTTGACATACTTGTATTTGTTGGTTATCTGTTGCTACATATCAAGATACCCTAAAATTTAGCAGCTTAAAACAAGAGTAGTAGACATTTTGTATCCCACATAGTTTCTATGGGTCAGGAATTCAGAAGCAGCCTAGCTGGATGATTCTAGGTCAGGGTCTCTCATAAGGTTGTAGTCACAATGTCAGCCTGGGCTGCAAACATCTGAAGGCTTGCCTGGGGCTGGAAAATAAATTTGCCGGATGGCTCTTTCGTGCGGTTGGTCAGTCTCTGCTGGCTATATGCAGGACACCTCAGTCCCTCACCATGTGTACCTCTCCAAAGTACTACTTGTCTCATATTACTTCAGCTGGCTACTCCTAGACCAAGTGATCCAAGGAGGAGGATAAGGTGGAAGCCACAGTGTCTTTTATGTCCTAATCTAGGAAGTCAAACTTCATTATTTCTGCAATATACTGTTGGCAAACCAATGATATTCACTGGGGGAGGAGTCTGCATTAGAGCATAGACACCAAGAGTTATGACTTACTTGGGCCATCTTGGAAGGTATCTACCACAGTATGTAAAAATGATGTTGTACTTTCCTCCCCCATAGCTAATTATTCTCTCCATTACCCCTCAAGCCATCCTCAGTTTGTACTGTGGCAGCCTAAGAAGGGTGGTAATGAACATTGGTTTCTAGGAAGCTAGAAAGTCAGTGAACTATCAGCTCTATAGTTCTTTCCAAAACATTTGTATCTCTGTACATCTCATGCAGACTGTTTGAAAATTAGAAAATAACATAACTATACCTTTAATTCTTAACATAAATTTACTGATATGTTTTAATGTAGTAACCCTTTTAGATAATAAAAGTAGGCTTCTAGAAATCACAGTGGATTATGTAGGGGTTGGGTCTGAAGGAAATTAAGTTCTTTTCTCCCTTGGCTAAGAAATCTTTTCTGTTGTTCCCTACTGCCCATAAAAGTCATCATTCTCTTCCTCATCTCTCCCACTTCTTAGCCCTGCGATATTAGGCACATTAATCTCTGTGCTTCCATTTTGCCATTTGCAAAATGTGGGTGATTGTACCTATTTCTTGGGATTGTTGTGTGGGCTACATGACATGCCCACAGTGTGCACTGGCCTGTTGGTAAGCACTCAGATGTTAACTGCTGCCACTGTTATTATGATGTTGATGGTGGTTATTGAAGTCACACTGAACTATTTTTAGATATCTCTTCTACCTTTCCATTTATTAAACAATTATTATAAGCCAGGACCCATGTGAAGCACTTCATAGGCCTTATTTCATAAGTAGGTAGTATTATCACCATTTTTCAGGTGAGGAAATTAAGGGGTAGAGAGGTTAAGTAACTTGTTCCAAAGTCACATAGCTGTTAAGTTGTACTCAATTTCATACTCAATAAACGTTTCAATTAGGTGTAAGAAAGATTGTCAGTATGAATATTAGAAGAGCATTTCTCAAGACTGAAAACAAGAAACTGTACTCTCAGTCTTTGGTGATTCGTAGTTGAATTGGATGTTTTTTAATCAAAAGATCTTAGCCCATCCTGTAACCCATAATTCCAGGCAGTGTCACTTTCACCAGTATGAATGTAAAGGGAAGAAAATGCAAGAAAAGCAAAATAAGCTTTGCTGCTTTTTAAAGCTTTGCAGTTTAAATGCTTGAAAAGAAAAGTTACAGAAATTACCATAAACATCCAAATCAAGTGACAATATATAGGAATTTTTAATTAAGGAGCATTATTATTATTATAGAAGCCCATATTAATTCAGTAATATAAAATAAGTTTACAGAATTAACAGTGGAAACAAAATAATCATGTACCAAGAAGAATTTACGAAATGTAGTTTTGTTCAGTCACTAAGCCAGATGTTCTTTTGGAGCTACCATTGGAGTTTGGAGAACTTCACTTGTTTTGCTTTTCTCCTCCCTGTACTTTGTCTCCCTCTGGGTGGAAAAAAAAAGAGTTAGTAGTTTGTTCTTTTCCTCAACAAAGACATGTATAATGTGATTTTAAGTACAGTTCATTGCATTAGGCAAAGGTTTTTGTTTTGTTTTTTTCCTTATGAATGAGTACAGTGCTGTGACTTTAGGTATTAAAGATATTTATAATAAAAATTATTAGCTATTAAAATTTTGCTCAAGTGATTTAGAAATAATTCAGAGAAAAAATAAAAGATCATTAAATTACAAATCTGGGGAGCATGAGTGTGTTTTCAAATTTTATTGTTCAGAAGGTGAACTCATTTTTGGTTGTATGCCCACTTAAAAGTCTTGTGCTTTTTATTATGCTCGTACAAGGAGCCTCTGACTTTATCCAAAGAGGTTGGGACTAGTTTTGTGAATGTCTTAAGCTCACAGGTAGTAGCCAGTGAAAGGACATTTGCCTATTAGTAGCTAAATAGGATTTTGCCAAAGAGCAAATTAACATAATGGGTTGGATGTCCACATAGTTAAGTCTTAGTGGTTGTTGGCTGATATCCTAATGGCAGCTGTGGCCAGAGCTGCCAACAGTGCTGGTATGTGTTCTGATGTCATGATCAAGCAGATAAATTCTTGATAATTAGTGAATCTCTTAAGTCCTAGAGAAAATCAGAAAAGGGAGAGAAGTGCTGTCTGATGATGATCACGCATAGGTACTGAGTGCCATACAAAGCATGAGAAATGCTACAGTATGCTTGGATATGTGAGGAACAATATTAATTCTGAAATAGCTCTGTGGCCTTTTGGGCTTTCTCTGGGCTGTTGTTTAATGCAGCTGTGTCTAAATTATGAAAATGAACGTTTTTCTTGAGAAAGGCTTACAGGAACCTGGGGCCTGAACAGGAAGTGACATTAGGTTATTATTGATGCACAGAATTTGTGTGCTCATTGAGAGTAAAACTCCTGCTAAGCAGGGCATATCCGAGAAAGATCAGGAGTCATGAGTGAAGCATTAGACATAGATACTAACTTACTTACTTTTATTTATTTATTTATTTACTTTCCTTTATTGATTTTTAGAGGGAGAGAGAGATAGAAACAATTGATGAGAGAGAACATCAACCTGGGCATGTGCCCTGACTGGGAATCGAACCGGCAACTTCTTGGTACATGGGTTGATGCTCAACCACTGAGCCGTACTAGCCGGGCAATACTAACTTACTTTTAGAAAAAAGGCTGTTTACCTGCCTTTGGAGAACAGGTTCTATGTCATATACCCTTTCCTGCCACCTGTTTATGTGCCATACCAATGAGTTAACTGTGAGTCCATGCTGTGGGCAGTAAGCTAATGCATGGACCCTGATGCCATAATGTCTGCACTTATTTGTGTAAAAACAGAAGAAGCATTTCTTCCCCAAAGTCTGATTTAAATGTATATAAGGCAGATTGTTTTGAGGGCAGGAAAATCAGGAATTTAGAAAAGGAGTATACTTTTTATAGCATGGCCACTGAAATTATAAACTGAAAAGCTAATTTTTAAGAGTTCCTTTGTGTCCTTGGGGTCTTTTGTTTCTTGCTGTAATTTTAAAATTTAAAGTAGAAAAATCAAAGGACTGAATGTTGCATTCAGCTGTAACCTTGTTTACTCTGTCTACCATAGGAGATAGAAGAACTACAGTCTCTAGAGAGAGAAAACTTCTGGATCCCTTTTTTGGTGTCATCAGCCTTGACGGTCAAGGGTGGTGTAGCTGCTAGGGAGATAGCCCTTGGAAGTTGTCCATTTCATTCAAGCCACCTCTCTTGTTGTGCAGGGTTTAGCATGATGTGTTTGGGAGAAAATATGCCCAACAGGATCTTTCCAGTCATGTGTGAGATGACAAGGATGCAACTTAATTAAGCCAGTCACTGAATAGCTACCGGAGATGGAGAGCCAATCTGGACACATGCTTGCTTAAATGTTAACGGATATTGTGAAATAATAATGGACCTTTGGGGAGGGGGGGCTACGGTTAGTTATAAAATTACACGTATTTCCAAAGCATTAGGCAAAGTAAGCTCAGTGCCAAGATATTTGACAAGACATTTTATTGACTTAAGTGAATTGGTACTGCAGTGGCCATATCTTTTTTGCTGTCTGTCTTCCATCTATGAATAACAGAGATGGACTGTACTTAGAAAGCAATAGTTGAGTTTGATGTATACATAGCACTTCTGCCTGTCACTTTCATTGTCTCCACCCATTTTACCCACTTAGGCAGATGGCATGGTTCAGAATAATGAGTTTTCCCAGCTGCGTATTTTCAGGTGAGCTAGATTCCAACTGAGTATCATACGCTGTTGATCCCAGGACAAGAGCTTTGACAGAAATGGTCTCTGGCTACCTGAGTCTGTAACTTATTCAAAGTTGGTATGGTCCTGTACCAGGACCAGGCCAATGCATGGACTTATCTCTAAGCAGAAAATAATTCAGATTTCTTGGCCATATTTAAAAGAACATTTCAGATACAACTTGGAAGGCCACACAGCTCACAGTCTGCAGTTGAGTCAATGTGCTTTTCTCTTTGAGGTCTTATAGCTTTGCTCATGCTCTCTTGGGACTTTTAATTTGCAGATGCTAATGCTGGAGACCGTGGACAGACCAATAACGCCGCTTCTGCATCAGCTTCCAACTCCACCTGAACAGTCCTGAGCAGCGCTGCACAGGAGAAACCACCAGTTACTTGAGTGTCACTCAGCAACACTGGTCACGTTTGGAAAGAAAATTAAAAAGAGGAAAAAAACCTGTTCATTTTAGTGTTCAATTTTTTAATTATTATTGTTGTTCTTATTTAACCTTGTAAAATATCTATAAATACAAACCAGTTTCATTGTATTCTCACTTTGAGGGAGATCCCTGGGGTGGGAGGGTTGTAGGGAGGGGAAAGCGGAGCACTAGAACACACAATCTCTCTCCCACGACAATCTTTTTATCAAAAGTCTGCTGTTGTATATTTTAAAAACAGGACTCCTGCTTCATGCCCCTTCCACAAAAGAAGAAAACTTTGTTCTGTGCTGAAGTTTTTTTGAACTTTGTGTTCTTTTAAAGTCAAGAGTAAGACTTTGGTATAGTGCACAACTTGAAATTGGTTGGGAGCTTAGCAGGTGTAACTCCGTGGGGACTTAAATGTCACTTGTAAAATTAATCCATATCCTCGGGTGTTTGAAAACTTGCCTTTTGCATGTTGGTGGCAGGTGTGGCAGACCAAAAAAAAAAGAAATGCGTATCGTTCGTAACCCAGGGAGGTCAATAAAGTTAGAAACTATAAGGGGAAGATTTTTAATTGATTTGTTAAAATTGTTTTGCTTTTAATGAGTGCTAGTGGTGGAGAAACTTATAGAGAAGGCTGTCAGAGGAGGAGCATGGGTGTTCTACATGGGCATCTTTGTTTGCCTGGCCAAAGGTTCTCGTAAATCTTAGTATGGTTTTTAAACTAGTGGCCTAGGAGAAGACTGAAAAGGACGTTGAGCCAGCCACTCTGACTGCAGAGGTCAAAAGCCGATGAACCTGGAGGAAAGGGAGAGGCCAGGGGCAGATCTCACCACTGTGAATGAATTAGTCCAGATTTTTTCTAAAGTTGCTTCCCTTGGAAAGATACACTTGAGAGGACATTATAGTTAAATAATGTGAACTGTAACAGTCTACTGGTTTATTTTTCATAGTTTTAAATTACAGATTGAGCTTGTAGAAATTGCCACATTCTGCACATAGTTCTAATTTTAAATCCAAATCTAGAATCTATTTAATTTCAGCTTTTTTAACCTCATGCTTTTTAAATTTTATTTATTAATGCATATCAGATAGGCCATTATGATTTTAGACGGTAGGAATATTAAAAACCACATCAAAATGATATAAACAGTCACTCTACCTGCTGACTTTATAGGAAAGTGGATTATATAAATGTGTGTATATGTGTTATATATACATAGATCAATACTGCCTTTTGTTGTTGTTGTTTTTCTTTTTGTCCACAGTATCACAATTGACTGCTTGAAGAGTGAGAAGAATGTTTCCCCCCACACCCAGTTAAGAACTTTTGTTTCTGTTTTCTTTGTGTATCAGTGAACGGTGTTAAGAACCAGTCTCTGTTTTTGAAGAAAAAGCAATATTCCTTGGAAAGCAAGGAGGATTGAAGGATTATGTTTGCAGTGAGAAAATAGATTTTCACAACTAGTTTGTTTTATACTTTTAAGGTTGACATCTATGTGGGCCTTATATACTCTAAAATTAACCTTAGTCACCTTGGTGCTTATGGGCCATTACTTGACCTATGAATCTTTAAGGCACAATCAGTTGTACTTTACATTTAAAGATCACTTGAGTGATGGCCGCCTTTCTCCCCTACCCACTCCTTCCCCACACACCCTCCAAGGTTAGCTGAAAACCGTAGGGCTGCAGAGCTGAGCCCTAGATTGTGTGCAACCCACCTGCACCCTTCTCATTGCCACCTTAGGTCATGTTAAGGTTCTCGCCCTTCAGGTGATGTAGAAGTAGAGTCTCTTGACAGCCCTGACGCAGGTCCCCACAGCCTGTGCTGCTTCTTACCCCAGTGCATGACTCCGGGAGAGTCCTGCTGCCTGCTGAAGCCTGCGAACGGCAGCTGTGCGTCATCTTGGTTTTCACTCACTGTCTCGCTAAGCTCTTAGGCCACAAAGGGGTTTCTCAGACCTCCCGTTAAAGCAGAGTTCATGAGAAAGGAAACATACTCCGTCAAACCAAATCAAGCTGATTGACGTTTACTTTTCATAATGAGCCTTTGAGAGCTAGTTAAGATTTGAAAGACGTCTGAATCAAAGTATTTGGCAAAATGATTCCTAAAGGAATGGCTTTGATAGACCATTTTCAGAAAAGATTTATAAATAAGCTGAACAGCAGATTTGTGACAGAAATGGACCTGCTTTCAGACCAAACTGCCCAGCTAAACATCTGGGCACAGACACTACTCTGGATTTGGTATAATTGCTAGAGTCAATAAAAATCTGTGCTTGTTTAATGAAATACTCCCCCCCCCCCCCCAATAAATGGGATGAGAGAAGGAGAGAGAAGAGGCCAATGCTTTCCTCTCATCTGGGGTGTGTGTGTGTGTGTGTGTGTGTGTGTGTGTGTGTGTGGGCTGAGGTGCGTGATTTTTTCTTTCTCAAGGATCATGGCGGGATCACAGAGCTCTTTTATACAAGTGAGATCCAGGTCTCTGAATATCTTTTTGTAAATAAATTTAAAAAAGATAATAATAAAAAGCTCCTCACCAAATTCAAGCTGTACATTATATTTTCTTTCAATGTTTTTAAATTTAAGTTTTATTGTTTTGTATGTAAATATGTGGACCCAGGAACTGTTATTAATGAGCAAAAAGTTACTGTTCAGGGCAGTGATTCTGTTTAATAATCAGACAAAATGTAGACGAGCTTTTTAAAGCCATATAGTTTTAACTCTGTACAGTAGGTACCGGCCTGTATTATTGTAACAATAACTCTAGCAATGTATAGTGTATCTATATAGTTTGGAGTGCCTTCGCTTCCATGTGTTTGGTTATTTTGTTTGTTTGTTTTTTTGTTTTCCATTTCTAAAATTTTAATTGGTTTCTCTATCCATGTCTCCCAATCCCCTCCCTTTCCCTTTGAAATAATAGCTCACTCATAACACAGTGTCTGTGCCCTTCACAGTGATTTTTAGTGAGACCAGGAGTGGAAAGAGGAAACCATGTTCATAATCTCATGTCATTCAAGCCCTGCCTTTCTTTTGGTTCTGAACTTCTGTTTCTTCCTCAGTAGCAGTGACCGGTGTCATTGAATCCTTAGGCCATCCAGGGACTTAGGGTAGTGCCAGGGAGCCCTAGAGCTGGAGGGCATGAATAGATTAGGTTAGATTTTGCTCGTCTCTTCCCCAAACCCTAACCATGGGTCTTAACAAACAGCAGATTCCATGCTCGCTCTCTCCTCATCTTCCCTCACCAATGAGAGAGAATTGGTTTATGTAAGTCCGAGTTTCTTCATAGCGCCAGGTTTTGCTCATCAGTGGTCTGAAATGCTGCGGTGTGATGGCCAGCAGCCAGTGCACCGAGTGCTGCAAGCCGCAGAGGACTTGTTCAGCAAGGGACTCGGCCTGTTCCTGTCCTCCCGCCACCTCCACCCCTTTCAGCAAAATGTCACATTAATGTATTTTTTCAAAAACCAGTTTAATTCTGACTGTGTGCCCATTATGAAGGCCTTTTTTTGAAAGGAGAAAAAGAAAAATTTGTTTTGCCTCCAAATACTCCATATAAGATGTCTTGAGTAGAAGAAAAAACAAACTTTACCAAACCAAAGGTTCCTATTTTTTGAAACATCGTATGTTCATTCCAGCAAGGCAGAAGACCGCACCTTCTTTCCAGTGATGTCATTTTTTAAAGTCCTTAATTTTTAGATACATAGATTTGGTTTGTGTTTTAACAAAGCCTGCCTAACCAGTCATCTTGTCTGCACCAATGCAAAGGTTTCTGAGAGGACTATTGTATTCTCTATCCCTGTGGATGTAAAGACACTGGCATTTTCTTTCTTTTTCCCTTTCCTTTTTAAGGGATTTAACTTTGGAATCTTCCAAAGGAAGTTTGGCCAATGCCAGATCCCCAGGAGTTTGGGGTTTTTTTTTTTCTTTGTTTTAAACCAAAATCGTATCTGATTCCTGTTCTTGTTAGTGATCATCTAATCACAGAGCCAAACACTTTCTCCCCTCTGTAGAAAAATAAACTAAGCATGCTTTACAATAAAATCTGTCTTTTCTGATAGAAACCTGAGCCACTGAAAATAAGAGACAACTAGAAGCAGAGTAGAGTCCCAGACTAAGGTCTAGTTTGAGAGGCTTTGAAAGTAATCCCTGGGGTTTGGATTATTTTCACAAGGGTTATGACATTTTATTCAAGTTTGTTGCTCCGTTTTGCACCTCTGCAATAAAAGCAAAATGACAACCAGTACATAAGGGGTTAGCTTGACAAAGTAGACTTCCTTGTGTTAATTTTTAATTTTTTTTTCTTACTAGATCTGTCTACAGGCAGATGCAGATAGATGTATGAAATGTGCTTGCCTGTAATATTTGCATTTATAAATGTGTTGCCGATGGATCACTTGGGCCTGTACACATGCCAATTAGCGTGACCACTTCCATCTTAAAAACAAATCTAAAAAACAAAATTTATTATATACATATATATATATAAAGGACTGTGGGTTGTATACAAACTATTGCAAACACTTGTGCAAATCTGTCTTGATATAAAGGAAAAGCAAAATCTGTATAACATTATTACTACTTGAATGCCTCTGTGACTGATTTTTTTTTTTTCATTTTAAATATAAACTTTTTTGTGAAAAGTATGCTCAATGTTTTTTTTCCCTTTCCCCATTCCCTTGTAAATACATTTTGTTCTATGTGACTTGGTTTGGAACTAGTTAACTGGTACTGTAATTTGCATTAAATAAAAAGTAGGTTAGCCTGGAAATGAAATTAAAATTCACAAGTGTGTGGTCTTTATTTCAGTGCCAGCCCTCTTCACCCTGCCTACTTGCCACTGCAATATGTAGTCACACCACCATCTCCTTTCCTCCAGTTAGAGAACATGGGTCTTTGTTACAAAAATCAAGATACGAACATTAGTTCTCGTTCTTTCAAATGGTCTTAATCCATTGTGTAGCCCCGAAGGTGCAGCTTCCATCTCGGAAACCTTTGGATTTGATGCAGAGGAAGCTTTGTAGACACTGCTTTGAGAAGAAAGAAAACACCCCTGAAAGGGACAACTTTTTTAAAAGTGTATAAGCTGCTGTCTTTGGTTATACTGTGTTCATGGTTTGGTGTAGCTGTATTTTCTTTTAAGTTTCATCCCGTTAGTAATGGTCTTTGGGAGTATCTGTAAAATAAATGAACACCACAAACAGTGGGGCTGTACCTCCCAGGTAACCAACACATGTTGTGTTTGAGTCTGATCATTTCCAATACTGGATGATGTATGTAAACATGTAATGTCTTTTAGTGCAAAAAGAAACATTTTTTTTTTTTAGGGTTGGCTCACTGTCAGGCCTAATCTAAAGGCTAGATATAAAGTCATGTGACTGCTGCTTCAATAAAAACAAATTTATATTGGATACAGTCTGGTCCTCTTGATTTACTTAATTTTTCTGCTGTGTGAGAGTGAAAGGGGGTGGGGGGTTAAGATGTCGATTGTGGGACGGGCCTGCCTCCTGATGGCACTGAAGTGTATTTGTTTGGGATTCACTAATATTTCCTGCCCTGTTTGGGGATTGAGCAAGATACTCTTTTAACTTAAAATCCCAGGAGTCTATTTGCAGTCTTTTGGGATTACATTTGTGGGGGCGCAGTGACAGTGGGTGCCATTTCAGGTGTTCTAAGGGTAGTTAGGAAGGCAGGTAGATCCCCTTCGAGAAGTGGGTGAAAGGAAGTAACCACAATGATGGGGTAGTCACCCAGTCCTCGGTGTAGGGATATTTCACTTACCCACTAGCACCTTCAGATTTGAGAGCTGTGGGTGTGTTACAGGAACGTGTCCAAGGCAAAACGGAAGCTGTTGTGAAAGATGGAATGATGAGGCCACGAGTTGTCAGAGCTGAGAAGGGATGGTCAATGGTCAACTGAATGTTACTCTTTACATCCTCTTTTCTCCAGAAAGGAGAAGCCACCCTGGGCCTTTCCACAAAGAGGACTTACTGATGTCAAGCCTTTTATTGGATCCTTAAAATCTGGGGGATTGGCTGCTGAGTGGTTTCAACTGATGGGGGAGCCAGAAGGTAAACAGTAACTTCTTAGAAGGTCTTTTCTCCTGACTTTTGGAGACTGATTTCATCCTGCCCTGTCTGAGGCAAGACCTAGAAAAAGAACAGTGGCTGCAGGTATGCCTAGCAATGGACACTTAGTTCTACATGCTCAGAGCTCAGGGGAGGGAGCAATAGGGAAATGATGTTTGAGAGTAGGACATTCGAGTCTGGCTCCTAGCTCTGTAAATGAAATCCACAAAGCTGCTGAAAGGAAGTATCCTGTGTGAGCTCTTTGGTGTATCTAACCTTGAATATTAACCACACTTGGAATACACTTAGTTTTTTATAATGCTGATGTCATATGTACATAACAATGCAATGTTTGGGGAACTGCCCAGGTTTTTTTTTGTTTGTTTTTTTTTTTTAGAGAGGAAGGGAGAGAGAGAAACATCAATGTGAGAAACAGATCCACTGCCTCTTGCACAACCCCTACTGGGAATCGAGCCGAAACCCAGGCATTTGCCCTGACTGGGAAACAAACAGGGACCTCTCAGTCTATAGGATGATGCTTAGTCCACTGAGCCACACTGTCCAGACTGCCCAAGTATTTTTAAAATCAATACTGGGAGGTGAGAGTTTTCATTCCATCTCTTTTTAATTTAAATTTTTTATGGACACTAGTGAAGTCGTCCCCTATTTCCTCTCCTTTGCCCACCTCCACCCAGCCCCCCTTTGCCCTCTCCCTTAGCCCTCGCCAAACTATTATATGTGTCCACAGGCTATGCATATGTGTTATTTAGCTAATCCCTTCACCTTCCTTTATCCAGTCCCCCTACCTCCCTCCCCTCTATCTGTCAGTCTGTTCCATGCTTCCATGCCTCCAGTTCTGTTTTGTTTGTCATTTTATTTTGTTCATTAGATTCCACATGTTAGTGAGATCATATGGTATTTGTCTTTCTCTGACTGGCTTATTTCACTTAGCATAATACTCTCCAGGTCCATCCATGCTGTCACAAAGGGTAAGATTTCCTTCTTTTTTCATGGCTGCATAGTATTCCTTTATGTAAATGTGCTACAGCTTTTTTATCTATTCATTTGCTGATTACTTCACATCTCAATCTCATCTTGCCTTCACTTTACTGTAGCCTACATTTGAATGACTAACACACTCTAAATTATTCCAATGGGGAAGAGGAGATGCATTTGATTTATGAATGCAGTTGAATAAAATTTATATTTCCAAAAAAGACACATTCCTGGGGCAAAAGCTGTATTTATTGTATTTGCAGAGAGAAGCTCCGCCACCCCCCACACACACCACACACACAATTTCTTTTCTAAAAATGAGCCCTGGCTAATTTGGCTCAGCGGTTTGAGCGTCAGCCTGTGGTCCAGAGAGACCCAGGTTCGGTTCCCACTAAAGGTATGTATCTCGGTTGCAGTTTGTCCCAGGCCCTGGTTGGGTCGTGCTGGTGGCAGCCACTCGATGTGTCCCTTTCACATCGATGTTTCTCTCTCTCTTCCTCTCTCTCCCTGCCACTCTATCTGAACAAAAAAATGAAAAAGTGTCCTCGAGTGAGGATAAAAAATAAAAAGTAAGTAAATAAATAAATATGAGTGTTCTATACTTGATGCAGAAGGGGCTGGTAAATCTGGAGAGAATGTAGGGAATAAGGTTTGCTCACTTTGATGTATAGTGTTGATTTCTTATGTTCTCAAAGTTTGGTCAACTTCTTGTAAAACAGTAAAAACTAAACAAGTATCTGTTCTTTAAAATTCAGTTAACTCATAGCTTTATTTCCATCAACACATTAGACTTAAAATTAGTTCAATTACTGCCCTGGCCTGTTTTTCTCAGTAGTTAGAGCATCAGCCCCTGGGCCAAAGGGTCGAGGGTCCAATTCCTGGTCAAGGGCATGTACATGGGTTGCAGGTTTGATCCTAGCCCCAGTCGGGGTCCTGCAGGAGGCAACCAATTGATGTGTCTCTCTCATATTGATGTCTCTCTCTCTCTCTCTCTCTCTCTCTCTCTCTCTGTCTCCCTCCCTTCCACTCTATCAAAAAAAAAAAAAAATCAATAGAAAAGTATCCTTGGGTGAGAATTAACAAAAAAAAATAGTTTAATTACTACATTTTTAATTATGGTATAAATATATTAAATTTTTATATGGAACAATCATTTTATGAGAAAATCAAGTAAATGTATTTTTATGTTCTTGCACCACCAGCCTTCAGATATGTAAAGGGCAATAGTAGAGTAGTAAAAAGTAGAAATACAAATTTATGTATTATACACCAGACATTTCTATTTTCTCACCCCACATGTCTTTTATTCCCCAGAAAAGATGGTGAAAAAAAAAAAGTTTAACTAGCCAAAAGTTAGTTATTGAAGCCGTCTTGCCTTGATTTGACATTAAACTTGGTTTTATATTTGCTAACTGAGCCTTAGGTGTGGAATGCTTTATGTAAAATTAGTTAAAATGTAATTGGCAGAAAAGCAAAAACATTTTTACTCAAAATAGCTATACACAAAGCAAACACTTTCATCCCCTTGGGTTCAGAAAATAGATTTGTAGACGGGAACATATGGTGCATACATATCTAACACATTTATTAACTGCCTGTCAATGTAGCCTGTCACAACACCCCGGTGTTCCAGCCTCAGGAGCAAACCCAAACCCAAGTTCAGATATGAAGCAGACCTCCACGAAGTCACACACATGTGCACACACATGTTCAGGGATCTCCTACATGAACTATAGTTAGGGAATTATAAACTCTTTGAGGTGAGGATCTATGACCAGTTTATGGATACCACACAGGTTGCATATTGTCGGTACTTAACGATGTGTTTGAATGGCTGCAGAGACAGAAGGAGGGAAGAATGAACACGGAAGGGTCATGACAAGCTTCTGACACTTGATGCAGGCTCTCTGGCTTCTCTCTAGAAGACTCCCATGGACACTAATGCACCTGCTTGCTGATCGACACAGGTCTGGAACTCACTGAGCACCCCAGGAAGGGGCTGCGGGTTCCGAGTGCGTGGAAAGTAGGAGAACGGTACTGGAAATAGCGAAAAGATCCAAGAAGCTAATGAACTTGGGTGTGGTCATAAATCCTCAGATGGCCCAGCCCCAGTCATCCTTTCTGCTCTGCTACCATGACACTAAACCCCCAGACCGCAGCAGGGCCTTTCCCAAGGGGGTGGTGGCCTTGCCTCTTGAGAGGCCCGACCTGCATGCCAGTGCACTCTCGTCTGAGGGTCATGGCTTTGCTTTCCACAGACTGAGCTGGGGACTGGGGGCCCACGTCCCTTCCTGAGGAGCACGAGCCAGCATCAGCAGAGCTGTCCTGAGTTCCCTGGTCGGCTCTCGGCGATGTCTCCGGCTGCCCCACAGAGGCGCACCCACGGGGCAGCCGCTCAGTCATCTGAGATGCTGAACAGTTCTTGCATGAGCGGGGTGGCGAAGGGGTGTAAGTCGTGGATGCGCAGCAGCCGCTGCGTGTGCTGGGCGTTGATGCTGCGAAGCTCAGTGAGCATAGCCATGATCTTCAGGAACAGAAACCTGCGGGCCAGCCAGAGGAAATGATGGGGTGCAGCCCACTCTTGCCCTCACCCACCAGCCCTGGGACTGCTCTGAAGTTGCACAAGGTCGGGGGTTTTAATCTCAGAACATTTCGGGTCAGCCAAGAAAGTTTCAGTTGAAGTCCCTAATCTTTTTCAGCCTGTGGATGAGAAGGGCCGAATAGCCTGGGGGCTTGAGGCATGGACCTGCACCCCCAATTCACACCACATCCTCTGGGAGATGCCCGCAGGGACACCCAGGCATTGCAGGCACCAAGTGCATAGGTCAGCTTGGGGGAATCCCTGCCTCAGGGCTGGGCTGAGGGCTCAGGACTGAGTCAGTGGTGGTGGAAGCCGGGGCTACAGGAGGCTCTCCGTTCCTGGATCTAGCCCAGGAGCCAGGGACTGAGACACACCTGGTGCCTCAGTTTCCCCACGATGCCTCCCAGCTCCACACAGGGGAAGACTGAGCAAATGTAGACACAGCCATTGCAGCATTCCAAGAGCTCAAAGAAAGCTGGAGCAGGCCACGTAAAGACTGGAGGCATACGTTCAGACCAGCACCCTCAGTACTGCCTTCACCCCTCGTGGCTCGAGCCTGCGGACTGTCGAAGCCCAGGGAAGGGTGGGGGCCCCTGTCCGCCCAGCCCTTAGCAGCCTTCCTCCTTTGGGGTAGAGAACAGACTGAGCAGTTTCCCGCCCATTTGCTTGGTTCCAGGGCTAGCAGTTCTCAATCAATGATAGCTATTACAGATCGACTATTATCACCATTCTTGTTATCACTATCTTTATTACCATTATGCTTATTGCTGGCTATTGCTAGAAGACCCTGCAGGGTCCTCAGGAGATGACCTGGCTGTTTCTGCCCCTTGATGACAGAAGGGAAGGCCCAGCAGACATGAGCTGTACCTCAGCAGCAATATCCTGTCAGCTGGGCTCACCTTGGGCTCTTTTCAGGTTTCTCCACTATTGGGCTGGAGCTCAGTGCAGGTCACAGAACAGGGCCCCAAAGCCTTGGCACTCAGAGCCTGCCCCAGGAGTGGCTCCAGCCTGCTCTCCCAGAAAGACCCAGAACAGGGCCTGGAGGGCAGGGCCACCGAGGGCCTCCCTCACACCCTCCCTGCTCACTGCTCACCGGTGGCTGGGCTGGGGACGACTGTACTCGATGTAGGCCTTCAGGGCGATGGCAAACCGCTCCTGCAGCTGGTCCACCACGCTGCGCTGCACCACACCCGGGCGGTCTGGTAGGAAGGGGAAGGCAGTGTGGTGCCAGCAAGGCCGTGGGGCAAGGACAAGCTCAGTCCAGCCCAGAGAGAGCAAACTGCCTGGCCACCAACCACCTTCCAGAGACACCCAGGCAGGAAATGAGTGGAGCACCAGGAGGGCTGTGCATCGCCCACCCACCCAAAGTGGCACCAGCTGGGGTCCCCGTCCTGGTTGTGCCGTTGAGAGGAAGCAAACCCATCGGGTAACACCTCCCCTGGGGAGGGCAGAGGAGAGAATTCTGCCTCCTGCAGCTAAAGCTGGGATTTGAGCAAGCCGGGGCGCAGAGAGGCCAGGCAGGACGGTGGGCCCTCACCTGGGGAGAAGAGGGAGATGGCCTGCATCAGCACGTACTCCTCCTTCCGCAGCCGCAGCTTCTTCAGCATGTAGTGGAATTTCAACACTGGCTCCAGTAGAAGCTGCTGGAAGCCACCTGTGGGTGGGTGCAGGATGAGGGGGACGTGTCAGGGAGTGGACCCAAGACCCAGACTTCCCTCACCAAGGTCTTTCTTCCCGTCGCCCAGTCTCCTGCCTGCATTCCCAGGACATGCACATCCTGGGGTGTTCCTCTCCTCCCTCCCTGGTCGCTCCCTCCCTTTGCCAGGGCAGGCAGGTGGCTCTGGGGCACCTGCAGGGTCTTCCAAGCAGTAGGACAGCCGGCCACACTCCCAGGTCCCGGTCTCTGCATTGAACACGGTGTTGAACCTCAGCTGGCACAGCTCGAAGGCGGCCCCCTTCAGCAGGGAGATCTGGTCCTCAATGGGCAGGCGCCTGGCAGCAGGGACGGGAGGGGATGCCAGCTTCCAGGAAGCCACCACAGACCAGCACCCACTCCCATAATCCAGAGCTCAGGGAGAGGGAGGGAGGGAGGGAGGAGGCAGGACAGGCTCCTACCCCTGCAGACGATTGCAGTTGCTTTTGGTTGCCTCCAATCTCGCCCCTCACAACCTAGCCAAGCAGATTACCCCTCCCTGCCATCTCTCTCCAGTCTCCTCTTAGCTCAGGGACTCCCACCAAAGGAGTTTGACCTCCCTTACAACCCGGCCCCGTCTCCTCCAACTCCCTGCACAGCCACTGACCCACAGCTGATGCCCTGGTCCTGGTCCCTGGCCTCATGACTTTCTGCCTCAGTTTCCCCACTAGGAATGATTGCCCCTTTAGCTTCACTTGAGTAAATCCTGCTAGTCCTTCAGGCCAAGCTGTCGCCTTTCCCGAGTCCTGCTGTGGCTACTATCTTGGTGTGAGTTCCCTGCAGTGGGGGTGTTTGCCTCCTGCTGTTTCCAGGCAGCCCTGAGCCCCAGACCCAACACTGAGCACAGGCCTAGCCACAGCGCCCCCTCAGGTGCTCTGCCTGGCTTTGCTCTCCTCGGGAATTCCTCACACTGTCTTCTCTCAGATCCATGATCCTGAGCTACAAATGCCGTGAAATCCATCTTCTTCGTGTCTCCCCAGCACCCAGCCCAGGACCTGGCAGGCAGTGGCTCTGAACTCTCTACTCTGTGCATCCAAATCGGGCCTCTCTGATGAACTGTGACCTGTGCAAGTTCCTGAACCTGTTTTCTCTCTGTAGAAGGAGGGTGATAGCAATGCCAGCTCCTCGGTGGTTGTGCTTAGAACTGTGGCCACGAGAGGTAGCGAGTGGCCTCCCATCCTGGTGTTGAACTGTGGGTCACTGGATGTCAGTGGAGATCACGCAGGTCCACTGTGTACATGGGCCTTTCTCCCACTCCTTTGACTTAACTGACACAATCTGAACTCCACTCCAGCCTGTGGTCACCCTCACCTCCTTCAATAGGTCCTATGTGTCACCCACAGAGCCACAGGGGAACCCATGGGCTGGAACATAACTGCCCTCTGCCTGCTGGTGAAATCAGGGTCCCTCATGTGTTACTAAACTCCACCTAACCAGGCCCAGCAAGGCCAGGCGGCCAACCCCGGGGCAGAGATGCCTCTGTCATCTCTAGCCCTGACAGGTCACGTATCATGGGGCAGTGTTTGTCCCCACACCAGGAGGACCCCAGGCCCTCGCTGCCCCACTGCCCATGGTTGTTGCCTCCACACCTCACTGTGGGGAGTCCCAACCCCTTGGTTCTCGGCGGCCCTCCTCCCCAGGGCCTTCTCAGCCACTTCTGAAGGCAGGCTGCTGGAGGCCCAGCGTCTGTGCCTGTCTCTCTCCTTCTCCCTTTGGACTCTCCTCCTTTCCTACCAGCTCCCTTTGTTCTGTGACTGTCGATCTGTGATTCCTGTCCTTTTAGGGAGAAACGGACGGAAATTACCGATGAGTGCCCAGCATGTATGAGCTGGATGATCTGACGTTTTCTTATTGATATGGCAGCCCAGCAAGTGGGCTTTGTGAGTTCCCTTCTAAGATGAGGAGGCGGAGACACTGAGATTAAACAGCAGCCCACAGGCCCATAGCTCAGGAGCCAACAGTGAGGGCCCCAACCCCCACAGTGCCGCTGCCACGGTGGGTGGGGGCAGAGACAAAGAAGAGTCTTTGGGCACCAACATCCCCCAACTTCTGAGGGATCTACCCCAGAGCCTTCGAACCTGCTGGCCATTTTCTGCCCCGTTCTATACCCATCCCCCAACCCCCATGTCCCACCTGAAGTAGGAGATGACTTTGGCAAAGTTGATGATGCCTTTGAACATGTAGGTTGACATGTCAGCCATGTGAGGCAGCAGGGAAAAGATGTCTTTCCCACAGCCTTCGGCTGGGGGTTTGTAGTTCCAGATGCTGCCATCCTCCCCCCGCAGCTGCAGGGAGACGACCTTCAGGGAGCACAGATCTTCTCGGATCTGCTTCCACTTGGTGGCTTCTTCCCCCGATGCAGTCTGCAGAGATTCTGGGCTCTCACCGCTGCTGCTGAGCACCTCGGGCAGCTGGAACAGAGCAGGAGGCGAAGGGGAGGGTAGACAGCATGTATTCTCCCAAACAGGTTCCCACATGAGCCCCACATGGGCGCCCACAGCAACAGACTTGGGAGGATGCATAACTGCAGGTGCCGGCACACACACACACACACACACACACACACACACAAACACACACAGCACTTGCTTTTTTTCTCTGGTCTCCTATCAGGTGGAGCACTTTTAGACCTGTAAATTAATGGTCCCTCACATCCCTGCCTGGTCAGACATGGGTTTGCTCCCTACCCCAGGGGAAGGTGAGGGGGCCTATCCCCTGGGTGGGTCCCAAGCATCCCTGACCCTGCACAAGGGAGACTCAGAGAGAAGGGTCTGGGGTCTAGAGATGGAAAGAACAGACCTCTGGGGGCACTGGCTACCAGTGCCCTGAGCAGGTCACCTGTGATACTGTGAGCACCGCCGGGGAGGAGGGCACAGGGATCGGACGTGGCTGACAGGGCTGAGATCACTAACGTGTTTTGAATCAGTAAAACCAGTTCACAAACGTCATACCCCCAGCAGATCCTGGCCCTGTTTTCATTAAGTTCTGAACGCCAGCAACCCTGGGACAACTCAGCTTACAAGACTCCATTTATGACCCAGTTTCCACCTGCTGCGGAAGGAGAAAGCAAAGATTCTCAAATCTGGGCATGTGTCAGAATCACCTGGGGATCTTGTAAAAATGCAGCCTACTGGGTACACTCTCAGAGTTTCTGATTTAAAGATCTGGGGTGATCTGAGGACTTGCATTCCTAACAAGTCCTAATAAGTTCCCAGGTGCTGCTGCAACTGATGTCCTCTTTGAGGATCCCTGGTAATGACATTGGATTTTGAGGAGCTGGCACAGCTGCTGAGCCAACTCTCAAGCCTCATACCCGGAAATTCTTGAAATGGGAGAAGGTGGTGTCAAAGGTTTTCATCTGAGCGTCCATCAGCTCCTTGATCATTGTCTGCTGCTCTTCAGTTAGACCCTGGGCTCCCAGGGGCCGCATCTCAATCCGTTCTCGCTTCTTCTTCCTGATCAAGGCTCGTCTCCGCTCCACGGCTGCATCAGACATGATCACTGCAGGGACAGCCGGGGCAGGCTCAGCACCTGTGAGCAGCTAGGCCACCCTCTTAGCCCCCCGGGCAGCAGTCGGGGAAGAGCTGTTGACAAGAAAGCCAGCCTTCTCCAGACTCCTGAGGACTGTGGGCTCCTCTGGAGAAACACAGGATGAGGACAGAGGGATGAGGTGTGGCTGGTGTGCTGCCCACGACTGCTTAATGGAGCAGTGGGAAGAGCTTGGACTTCAGAAGCAAAAAGTGCTAGGATTGAGTGACAGCTGGGTTTGAGTGACCGCAGTGACCTTGAGCAAACTCCTTAACCTCTCCTGCCTTCAGTTTTCTTCCTTGTAATCTGAGGTGACAATGCTCAGCTCCTACTGCTGTCACAATGAGGTAGTGCATGAAAAGTGCCTACTACAGGTCCTGGTTATATTATATAGGATACACACACACATATACATAGACATATATACACATGTATACAGCTTATGGTATATATACATGGTAGGCAAAAGTAGGTTTACAGTTGTATTAATAATACAAGAATATACTCTGTTTTGTGTACTCATGACTGTAAACCTTTTTGCCAAGCTCTGTGTATTCTTCATGCACACACACCCTGGAATTTAATACATGTTCAGCACCTGAAAGTCTGTATTCCTGTTTAGTGCATCAGATACCAACCAGACTCCTCAGAGTCCCCCAAGTCCTCCGGGTCTCCAAGCCCTTGCGAAGCTGGGACTATTGCTTAGCAAGAAATGTCAACCCGACCACTTCCCAAGCGGCCTGGATGGAGCTTGCGGCCTCCCATGGATTTCTGGAGCCTACTTGTGTGTGGGAAGTGAAGCTGTGGGGGCCCTCGGGGGGAACAGCAGGGACAGGGTGAAGGCCTCACTCTCTGTTGGGCTGCAGGAAAGGCTCTGCCCACAGACCCAGGGAACCTGTGCCTGAAAGAGGTGGCCCACTCCATGATCGCTGGACGTCTCCAGCTCTGCACTGGAGGCTCCTAGGCTTTTCCCCACGAGCGTCAGTCTCTGACCTGGAGCACAGTCATACCAGAGCCTAACAGGCAGAGCGACAGCATCCTGTGTCCCCTGTCCCGGAACGTTCCTCTGTAGGATGCCACTGGGCACTACCCACTGGAAGGTTGGGGATCCTATCACTCCATGTGTCTCTGGCTTCCCTTTCCCACATTCACCTCCCCTAATTTGGCTAAAACTCCATAGGGACCATTATAAAGGGGACAAAAAGAGTCACAAGGGCACCTGAGGGGAGAGAGGTGCATGACTCTGCCCTGAGACCCCACCACACCCAGAGCAGAGGATAAATTTGCCCTCCATCTGTCATGTCCCCCGGGAGGGACGGTGGCAGCGCTGGCAGATGGGCGGCAAGCTCTGCCTGTTGCCCACAGGCCACAGGCGCCTGTGCATATGCGCACACACATGCACGGTGCCGCCTGCACACCTGCGCGTACACAGCCCCCAGGCCCATTCCTGCTGGGCCGCATGCCCTCAGGCTCGTCCTGCCACTCACTCTCCTTCTTCATGCCGCTCTCCAGGCACTTGCGCAAGCGGCAGGCCTGGCACTGCCGCCGGGTCTTCCGGGTGATCTCACAGGTGCCCTTCCGGAAGGGGCACCTCAGGCGGGCGTTGCTTTTCATGGCCCTCCTGGGAGAGAACACAGAACAGAAGGTTGGCAGTGGGAACAGGCCAGGGGGGTACAGGCCACAGCTCCCTTTCTCCCGTCCCCTCTATTACCACGGGACACTAGCGAGCCCTCTGCGGGCCTGCCTTTGCCCCCCAGCAGAGGAAAGGTAGAGCTGGGCTCCTCCATCTTCCATCAGGGCTGGGCTTCCCTCGAGGCCCAGGGGTCGCTGGAGGGCAGCAGGCGGAAGCTTTCGGCCAAGTTCACACTGTGCCGGTGCTTCCAACAGGCCGGGCTGCAGCCTGAGCCACTGTCTGGGATGCTTCCGCCCCAGGCCCCAGGCCCCAGGCCCACGTTCCTCCCCGCCCCACACCCCAGCCCTTCCCCCTGACACCCTCTGTTCTTGTTACTGGGTACCCAGGGAGCAGGTGCTTCATAGGTACCACCACCCTTTTTTGCCTCCCCTGCTGGTCTGGGTAAGAGACCCCTGATGCTACCCGAGAACACCTGGAAGGGTAGAAGGGGAAGGCGGTCTGGCTTGTTAACAGCATGCTCTGGGTCAGTAGATGCGGGCCTAGATGTTATGCAGAGCTTTGCAAATTAGTTCTCACAACTCTACCAAATACATCGTGTCAAAATAATAATAATAATAATAATAACAATAAACAATAAAATAAAATAAAACAAAATACATCGTGTCGTCAGTCTGACACGGATGCAGAAACTGAGTCAAAGGTAAATCGCTACCTGTCCTCCAGATAAGTGACAAGCTGAAATTTGAATCTGTGTCTGCCTGATACCAGAAGACTAGCTCTTAGCACTAGAGTGCACTGCCTCCCTCAGGGAGCCTCAGGACAGCCTGGGTTGGGGGAGAACAGGGGACCCACACCCCACAGCCTTCTACTCAGAGGCCGCGGCCAGGGTCAGGCCCGGCTCAGGCCCCGCCCCCCACGCGGCCCTGCTGGCCTGTGCCTAGCTCAGGGCTGTGCTCTCTGTGAGCGAGCTGCTCAGGAGTAGCCTGGCGCCCAGGTCCAGCCTACGGCGGGGGGGGGGGGGGGGGGGGGGGGTGTCTTCTGGGACAGGCCTCCTTGCTCCTAGAGAGAGGACGAGATGGGCCTTTTTGTTCCAGGGATGAACACTGGTCGCTGCCCCCGCCCGGAGCTGAGGCCAGAGCGCTGGTGCAGGGTGGCAGAGCAGAAAATGGAGAGAACGGAGCTGCTGGCCACACCAGCCTGAGGCCGTTAGACCGCTTCTGAGAGGTATCCTTTTCCTTACTGAGGGGCCTGTTCTGTCCCTTTACCTGAACTCAGCCTGACCCTGTTGCTGATCTGGCGTCTGCTACAACCCACACGACATGTGTGCTTGTTTCCCACTGGAACACGGGGTCTCAGAATGTGCCCCAGGCTCACCTAACCCCTGGGACCCCAGAATGGCTCAAGCTTGACCACAGCTGCCCAAAGCCAAGGTTTCTTCACTCTGGGTGTAGGAGGGGACACTGAACCCCTACAGTGCCCCCCTGGGCTGACCCAGGCCTGGACATCCTCCTGGGTTGTGGCCCCCCAAACATAACATGCGGACCGGCAGCCCATCTTTGGGACTGTAGGGGGCGCCCTGGCCCTAGGGTTTGTTTTCATCCAGGAAGGTTTGTTTTCATGCCCAGCCTCCAGGAAGAACTCTCTGAAGCCAAGGCCGGCTGGCTGTCCAAGAATGCCACCTCCTGCGGTGGGAGCTGCTCTCTGAGGGCCAGTGGAGAGCTCCTCCTCCACCCTCCTGCCTGAGCGCCCCTCCTTTCCTGGTGGCTTCTCCTCCTCTTGGTTGGAGGCCAGCACTGACCTCTGCTCTTCTCTCTCTTCAGCGGGACAACGTGAGCCCCCTGTCTGTCGGGGCCTGTCTGGTTGTGAGCTGGGACTTTTGAGTCTATAACTTTTTGGATTATTTGGCTGTTTCTAGGTGAGCTTGTGTTGTCGTGTTCTTCATTTATTTGATGCCATTCTTACTTAACAACGACTCTCTAAAACTGATTCGAACACTTGCACTTTGGATTTTCAGATTCTTTCCTCTTTTACAGACTGAATTTCTAATTTATTCAGAATGTATGGAGAAACAAAGGGGTATCTTAATGGAAGGAGACCCTTCTCGGGTAGGAAGCAGAAGGTGATACACATGGCTCTCCTGAGACTAATTAGGAGCCTTTGATGGGCCACTGGCCCACACCCTGAACCTGGGAGACTGGTCAAGCTGAGGCCCTAGTGCCCAGTGGGCTAATGGCAGAACCCAGTCAGATGAGACTCAGTGTGTCAGGGGTGGCAGGTGGGTGAAGGGTGACAGATTACTCTACCTGAAGAAACCCTTGCATCCTTCACATGTCATGACATTGAAGTGATAACCAGTGGCTTTGTCCCCACATACACGGCAAATGTGAGGTCCCCCACCTCCCTCCTCTGCACTGACGGGGGGCTTTCCAGGAGTGGAGTCTGCTTCTCCACAGTACACAAGGTCATCACGGTTCCAGCTCTCTTCAGGTGTCACCTCCAGGTTTGCTTCTGGCCCTCTGGGACTAGAAGTAAAAACAAAACAAAACAAACAACAACAAAAACAAACACAGGTAATTAAAGGGATGGACAGGGATGGACTGAGGTGGTCTTCACTGTGCGTCCCTCACATCAGATTCTGTGGACCCAAGAGCTCACCTATCGTGGAAGAAACGGAGGTGGGGCTGGAGTTGTTGTAAAGAGAGATGTAGCCATGTCATTGTGTGTGTAATAATAGGGCCCTGAAATAAAATTAACTAGGGTATCTGGATTTGGAAGCCTATCTGGAATTGTTGACATTTCCAACCTTGAGGATAGAAATTTTCTCCCATCTTACATCATTCAAGTTACCCAGAGATATATTTTCACTCTAATGATTAGTGGAGAAATTATAGTTAATAGGTTATACATTACTAACAATGTATGTGTATATTCTACATTGTAATATTTGTAAGCAATAATATTACAAAGTGCTATCCCATGAGCAAGAACGTGGGAGAGAGAAGGGTAAGAGGAAGAAATGACAAGGAGAAAGGAAAGACTACCTGGGTCGGATTGTAGAAGTAATTCTTGAGTGGACTAAGCTTAGGAGGACATGAGTTGGCCCAAGGCCAAACAGGGAGCAGCCTTTGGGACAGGCCACTTGTTCTAGATAGTTTCTGGGACTGGGGAGACTAGCAAGGGACAGCCTCTCGGGCATGCTGTGGCCCAGGCTCCCAGAGAGAGCTGGAATGGCTGGGCAGAAAGAGGGTTTTCAGTTGAGTAAATGACCAGATGGGGAGAAAGATAGAGAGGGGCCAGGCTCACAATACAGAGAAAAAATGGCCCAAGTCCCAGTCCAGCTGGGGCACAGCTGAATAATCAAAGAGCTTGTAACCATCAATGGAGCTGCGCTCAAAATGTCCACCCAGGCAGCACTCACCTTGAGAGTGACTTGACTTCTACTTGGGATGGGCACTGAGCGTGTGAGTAGAAACTGGAAACTATCCTATTCCTACTCTTCCCAAGTCTCTAGGCACCAACTGCAGGGGCCACCACACCACAGACAATGTTGCCTTTTCTGAAACCAAAATAAAATGTTTAGTAAACTGTCGACACACAAATTTCTGTTTCTAATAGCATGGCAGATGAAAGGTGACCGTTTCACTTGTAAGGATGAATTAGAAATTACTCTGTCGCCTGACCCTGGCCCTCAGAAAACTGCAAATAAAATAGGCCGACTGGAAACTTGAGCTGAACAAGGATGGTGACCGGATGTTAACCAGCCCTATTGTGGTGATCATTTTGCAACATGTACAAACATCAAATCATAACGAGGTATACCTGAAACTAAGATAATGTTGTATGTCAATTACACCTCTTTAAAAAATAAAGAAAATTTTTGAAAAAAAGGATGGAGCAGATACTAAAATGACAACTAACAGTTATTGAAATGTGCAGTGTTCTAGGTCCTTTGCAAAAGGTAATTATTATAACATTTATTATTTCACTCAATAATGATAGGTGCTCAAACATTGTTGAGCATCTATCACACACCAGATACTGTTCTGTTGGTTCTTTTTCATGTTCTACAAAAGCCGGGAGTCATTTCTTTGGCATCAATCCCGGGCCTGCCATAAAACCCTCCACCAGCTCACAGTCACAAGGAGTGTCCCACAGCTGAAGAGCGTCACAGGAAGGGAAACTTTCTACGCAAGTTATTATTGCAGAGTGCACACTGGAGGAAGACAACCTGCCTTAAGTGTTCAGCTTCCTTCAGCAGCCACTGGGAATGGCAGAATCCAGGGCCACAGAGACGACTGGCAGAAGTTCTGCACATAAAAGACCAACTGGGGACAAAGGAAGAGCGGGGAGGCCCCCCCTCAGCAATCGGAGTCATTGCTGTTCCCTAGAAGGGAAGCCGTGTGTAAGGACAACAAGATGCCTGAGTCACAGAAGCTCAATAGATGATACACATCAAGGAGACGAAAGAATTGTCTCTAAAGGGACAGAAGAGAGACTCCTACCTAAACTGTGACTGATTGATATATTCCCCAATTCCTTAATGAGGTACTAGAATTAATGCCAGAATACCACTCCCTACCTAGCATTGGTATAACTTGTATTTTGTTTGGCCTGTAAGTTTTCTGTTAAACAAGCGGACGATGGTACCTTCCATTCTCTCATATTATAAAGCCCTGACAGCTGTTCTCCGAAGATGGTCCCCAACAAAACCTCACCTCCCGAGAGCCCCACCCTTATGCTGTCCCCTCCCGTGAAGAGTCTGGGATGGTCTGTGACTTGCTTGAAGCAATAAAACGTGGGGAAGTGACACTGTGTCCTACTTTTTCTCTTTGGGGAGTTCTACATCCCCAAGTGAGAATGTCTTGCTCCCATGCTGGGGTGGTGGCATGATGAGGCCACGTGAAGAGAGAGTCCTGGAATGACACACACGAGGGACCCAGCTGCCCAGGCCTCCCGCCGTGCCCACCAAGCTCCAGACACTGAGTGAGCCCTCGAGACGTCCCAGCCCAGTTAGGCTCCAACTGATGCCTCCAGGAGCGGAAGAACTTCCAGCTGAGCCCTGTCAACACGCAGAATCAGGATGAAAATAAAATGGTGGTTGGTGTGAGCCAGTAAGTTTGGAAGGAGGCTTGTTACATGGCAAGAAATCATGGAAACAGAACCCCTGGAGTTTTGTTAGAAATAGGTCTGAACTGGGGTGGGCGGGGGCACCAGCCAGTACCTCCAGTTCTGGTCCCCATTATGGAATGGTGCCCAGTGCGCAGGAAAATGACAGTGACGAGGGGGCTGGTCACGTCCCTCTTTCATGGGAATCTAAGACAATCAGGCGTGCAGACGCAGTGGAGTCCAGCGGGGTTTACCCTGAGGGCGCGCCTGCTCCTCACTGTGCCTGGTGCTCTGTGAAATAGTCCACAGAGGGCTGACAGGTCACCTCCGATACTCCGTGAAAGGAATTCACAGCCCTTCAGTGAGGCCTTTGCAAAAATAATTAATTGTGAAATCCAATCTTTTGGCTCAGTACCAACGATAGAATATAATCTGAGCAAGGAAGAGTCATCAATAAAAGAATGAGTAAGGCCCTGGCTGCTTTGGCTCAGCGGTTAGAGCGTTGGCCTGCGGTCCAGAGAGAGCTGGGTTCAGTTCCCGCTAAGGGCACGTACCTCGGTTGCAGTTTGTCCCCGGCCCTGGTTGGTCGTGCGGGTGACAGCAACTCAATGTGTCCCTTTCATGTCGATGTTTCTCTCTCTCTCTCTTCCTCTCTCTCCCTCCCTCTCTATTAGAACAAAAAAATGGAAAAATGTCCTCATGTCCTCGGGTGAGGATAAAAAAAAAAAAAAGAATGAGCAGGTTAACGAATGCAGTGTTTGTGCGTGACGGAGGCTTGCTGCGGGGAGCGCGCACCCCACCCCTGCTCTGGGCAGGTGCAGAGTTGACATTGCTAGCTAGTAGGAGGAGGAGACAGAATTTGAACCCAGGTCAGTCTGACTCCAAAACGTGTGTTCTCACTTTTGCACTATGCTGCGTCCTTCACAGGACCTGTTCCTGAGGGGGTGGGCTGTTTAGTGACACTCCCTCATCTCTGTGCCAGTTTCTCCCAGGCACTGAGGTTCAATCGAGTCCTCCGTGTCTTGGGACTCCATTCGTGTAGCTCTGTTCTTGGGCAGAAAGTGGTCCCCTATGATCCTCGGCTCCTGCCGTCTCAATGCTGGTGATAACAGAAGGAACAGAGGGACCTGCTACCGCTCATCACACCCAGAGGCGTCTTGCCCCATGTTAGAGGAATAGTCAAGGTCATGATGCCCGTCCGCTGGCTCTTGGCTGGTTGCAGGGGGCTCCATCTGGACTCCACATTCTTGACTCTGTAATGGACGCTCATGTACATGGATGACCCTGTGTCTAAAAGGACCTGCAGTTTTTCTAGGGTCGATGCTGCCTGTTTTCTACAGATTCAGTGGTTCTTGGCCTTTGTGATTTAGTCATAGTTCATGTTGGAGGCTTTTTCTTTTGTTTCCCAGCAAGGGCCTTTGATGAAGCCCTTAAACATGCCAGCTTTGGCTTAGTCATAAGGGCCCTTGGAGAGCTTTGGGGTGAGCCACACATTCAGGAGGTCCCACAGCATGTTGCTGTTGAATTCGTTGAAATTGCTGAAGGCTCATTCCTGTGTGCGTGTAGCGGTAGTCTTTCCAGGCTGACGGATGTCTACATATATGCACTTGCTTCATTTGCTATGGGGCCCGAGTCCCCTATTAAATTAGGGAGAAGGGAGCTCCTCCATGAAGGATACACTTAGACACATGGGAGTGACTAATGGTGACCGAGTAGGACCCAGTGGTCCCACATTCTCCTGGGCATCAGAAGACTTTGTCATTTGTTCCTTCGGGCTGCAGATGTAGTGGGCATTGTCCCGCTGCCCTCATTGTCCATAAGGCCCAGCCCCTGCCGCCGACCTGAGACTAACTCGTGCTTCTCACCAACTTCTCTGGTGCTCGGGTCCCTCACAAACACAGTGGAAGCTGCTGACTAGGCCCGCGAGGCCTTGGGCGGAGGAGGAAGGGGCGAGTGTGCAGTTGGGGCAGTGCTGCCTCAGGGGCAGATCCGGCAGGGTAGGAGGAAGGGAGCGGATCTGGCAGGGTAGGAGGAAGGGAGCGGAGCTGCAGGGGAACTGTGGAGGCAGCACACTCAGAAGCCAGCCGGGGTGGGGGGCGGGAAGTAGAGAGTGTGCACTTCAGGGAGGATACATTTGAACTGGGGAGAAAGAGAGGAAGGAGGGTGGTGCACCCTGAGATGATAATGGAGGGAAATTCTAAAGAAGAAATAAATCGCATGTCTGCTCTAGGAGTAAGGATCCCCAGGAGGAAGAGGGGAGGAGAAGAATAGGGCTGGGCGCTGGGAGTGGGGGCGGAGAGAGGAGCGTAGACAGGCTGAAGAAGGGAGCAAGAAGGACTGCAGAGGCAGCCTTGACGTTGAGAATCAGGTAGAACCCAGGGTGGGCTGCACCCAGCAGAGAAGGAGAGCAGGAGG